GGCTGAATTTGATAACTCAAATACTTTTGGAGCAATTGAGCCTCAAAGTTGGATTTTAGTTGAAATTTAGTCAAAAACTTAAAATTTGATTTTCTCAAAAACCTTAAATGCCAGCGACTTCAACTAAGTACCATTTTGAAGCCCTCATGATGGGCTACAATTTAAAAAAAAATTGATCCAAAATCTTTGACAGGTTTCTAGAAAATTGAGTTTGAAAATTTTGAAATTAAAATCCAAAGGGATTTTTAAACCTTTGAAAAAATCGAAATTTTTATTTTTCAGATTTTTTTGAATTTTGACTTTTCCAATCGATAGAGCGGATCTGAATTAGTCGAAAAAAACTCTAACATCATTTCCAAATCTCGATTTCCAAAGAGAAAAAAAATCGAAAAGAAAATCTCAATTTTCAGGTTTAAATTTTTTTTAAATTTTGACAAGGTTAGGAGCAATTGCCAATACTTCCATTAAATTTTGAGCAAATCAAAATAAATTATATATGGTTGGAAAGAGCATTAAATTCTCTATAAATCAGTGCTAGATTGAGTTTGATAACGCAAATACTTTTAGAGCAATGGAGCCTCAAATTTGGATTTTAGTTAAAATTTAGTCAAAAACTTCAAACTCAATTTTCCCAAAAACCATAAATGCCAACGACTTCAACTGAGTACCATTTTGAAGACCTTATTAGGAGCTATAATTTCAAAAAAAAATTGATCCAAAATCTCTGACGGGTTCCGAGAAAATTAAATTTGAAAATTTTATAATAAAAACTTAAAATTTTCATTTTTCAGACTTCCGTAATTTTAACATTTCCAATCGATAGAGCGGGTCTAAATTAGTCGAAAAAAAATCTAACATTATTTCAAAATGACAATTTTAAGGAAGATTTTTTGGATCTAAATTTAAAAAAAAAAATCCTGACATGTTCATGAACAATTGCCCATATCTTCATTGAAATTTGAGCAAACTAAGACATATCGTATATTATTGGAAAGAGCATTAAATTTTCTATAATTCTGTGCTAAATTGGATTTTGTAGCTCAAATACTTTTTGATCAATTGAGCCTCAAAGTTGAATTTTACTACAATCACTGATCAATAAATCTCATGTATTCCCAAGAATTACAACTAGTTACTTATGATTGTTAAATATTTTACCAGGTGATTTCCATTTTTTTGGGGATTCCTATATCATTCTCAATTGATTACCTGATTTCCTCTAAGCAATCATTTGATTCTCAAAACAATATCCAATTGTTAAGCTTCTTAAGATATTGTGCAAAATGTGGCAACGATGAACTACATTTTCTCCTGTACCATATGGCATTATCGAATTTCGAATCCGACATTTTGTCTATGGGCCACAATGTCATCTAATAGTCAAACTGTCAAATCCAAATATTATAATCTTTTCCGGCAGTTAACAAAAATTCAACTAATTGGAGTTTCCTCCCCTACTCAATTTAGAAAAAAAAAAAAAAACCGAAAAATTGAGACTGAAAAACCAGGTACACACGATGAAGGTAACCACACATAAAAACCCTCGCCTCTACGGAATCGTAATTTAGAAAGACCCCGGCCCTCTGGGCTCGTAACTTAAGTAGACCCCGGCCCTTCGGGTTCGTAAATTAAAAAGACCCCGACCCTATAGGCTTGCGAAGTGTTGTTGATTTTTTTTTAATTAAAATTAGGTCTTTTGAACCTCTATTTTTGCTTAATTGTTTTATTCAATTTGCATTATTTTCAACGGCATTAGTGTACACTGAGTGTATTCGTGTTTGTATAAAAGAGAGATAGAAATACATTTTTTCTGAACTGGAAAAATTTAAAACGTTAGTCTAAAAATGTAGTAACCCTAACGCAATTTAACGTTTCAAAGTAGACCCTATAGTTTTTGACAGTTAATTTTAAATGGCTGGGTTGTTTCCAAGACCTACTTGATTTGATAAATTTCTTGCTTACAGTTATCTGTATTACCGACATCGATTAAAACCTGGGCTGGGATCACGACAAGTAGAATTCCACTAGAATTCTACTTTCATGACGTCAGGTTGCCTAGCAACAGTGATCATCGCCTGTAGTGTACGCGATAAATAGGTCGCGGGTGACGTCATGAAAATAAAATTCTACTTGTCATGATCCCAGCCCAGGATTGCTTTAAGGTTCACTTAGTTTTTGATAAGTAGTAATCTTATCGCTTGTCATAAATGATATTTGACATTTTGCCCAACAGTGTTGCCGATGTTTATATAATTACTGTTATGGAAAATTTGAAATTTGCAAGGCCTACTTGGGATTTTTTTTTTGTATAAATTCGAGCCTCAATGATTGACACAATATTTGTTATAAGTTGTAGTTGGCAACACTGTTTGACAAGGGACAAAGTAGGCTTTGCAAAATTTTAAAATTTAAATATGGCACCCTGTAATACCGACATTGCAATACAATACATACATGTTTCCAAAGCCTACTTGGTTTGATATAAGCCCGTAAGGCGAGAATTTTCCTGAAAAATCAACTTTCAAGATTTCTGGTGATTTTTTTTTTAAATCTGGTGATTTTTCATTCCAATTTCTGGTGACCTGGCAAGAGTGGTACTTACGTACCTACTTATTTTTCTGAGGCCTGGTTTATTCATCTTCATATAAACTTGCTGGTAACTCTGCAGGATAAATTTATCGTTCTATAATTCTATTGGTGGATGGATAACTGGCCGACCAATGAGATATCAAATCTGCATAAAATGCGAATTTATCTCATACTTAGTTTATTTTACAAAAACCGTAAGTATTAACCTCGGTTTTAACTTTATAATTCCTACTGTTAAACATTGTCTTCTTTACATATTAATATTAAGAGTTTTCCAATAGTTAGAATTTTATTAGTTTATTAACCATTATAGGTTAATATTTTATCTCTGGATTTATCCTAGTTCAATACCTTATATATTTTCTTTATTTTCTAACCACCTTGTACCGTGCGTTCAATTTATCTTGATAACATTTTAATTCGCTGTAACTTTTTTGTTTTTGAAGGTGTCAAGGTAAAGAAAAAAATAAAATGTAGGGTAAGTAGCAAAGTTTTTTTTCAAGTTACCTATGAAACCAAACACTATCAATTTTCTGACATATGAACCTATATTATATTTTTTTAAATGAAACACCCTGTATATTATATATGTGTTTGATAGAATATCTTATTCCGATTACAATGATATAACACACTTCATATTTTAGTCCACTTGTTCTTGACAAATCGGCAAAAATATATGAAACTTTTTAAGTGGAACTTATTAGGCAGAGATCTGATATTTGGGGCGAGAATTATTGAGAGTGTATATAAAAACTTCATATTTTTGCCAATCTCTCAAAAACGAGTGGACTAAAATATGAAGTGTGTTATATCATTGTAATCGGGATAAGATATTCTATCAAACACATATATAATATAGAGGGTGTTCCATTTGAAAAAATATAATGTAGGCTCATATGTCAGAAAATTGATAGTGTTTTGTTTTATAGGTAACTTGAAAAAAAACTTGGCTACTAACCCTACATTTCGTTTCTTTGTTTTCCTTGATATCTTCAAAAACAAAAAAGTTACAGCGGATTAAAATGTTATCAAAATAAATTGAACGCACGGTACATATTTGAACAATAACTTTATATATTATAAGTCAGAATTTTTAAGATTATGATTAAGTATTCACTTTTTGTCAATTTGACATTCAACAGGAATTAGTAATATTACTTTACCAAACTAGTATCATAATATGACAAGTTATTCAAGTACAAACGAGTGGATTGTTGCGGAACTTATGGGTGCACATCTGCGGGACGAGCGTAGCGAGTTCCGCAGTCATCTATATTCATTAATACGTTTTTCAAGTACGATACTAACCTGACTCACTCAAATGTCAGTTATTCTCATTATTTTAAAAACTACACGCTTCAGGAAAATGTCTTACTTGAACAGTTCAACAGTATATTGGTGAGTAGATGGCTGCGGAACTCGCTGCGCTCGTCCCGCAGAGGTCCACCCATAAGTTCCGCAATAATCCGCTTATTTATACTTGAACAATAACTTATTATATAAAGTCAAAATTTGTATGATTATGATTATTTACTTTTTGTCAATTTGCCTTTCAACAGGAATTAGTAATAATGTTGCTTTACCAAACTAGTAACATAATGTGACAAGTTATTCAAGTACAAATGAGTGAATTGTTGCGGAACTTATGGGTGGACCTCTGCGATATATTCATTAATATGTTGTTTAATTATGATACTAACTTGACTCACTCAAATGTGAGTTATTCTCATTAGTATAAGAACTACACGTTTCAAGTGAATGTCTTACTTGAACAGTTCAACAGTATTAGTGAGTAGATGACTACTCATAAGTTCCGCAATAATCCACTTAGGTATTTGTACTTGAAAAATAACTTATTATATAAAGTCAGAAATTGTAAGATTATCCAGTTTTTGTCAATTCCCCTTTCAACAACTATACTTACATTATTTTTCAAAATCATTATATCAAATTGTAAATTACATAATTTCAAGTGGGAAAAAAATACATAAGATATTAATTATATGTATAAATTAATAATTCAAATTTTGATTATTATTAATTCTTGATTAATCGACGTTTCTACTATTCTATGGAGCCATCTTCGGAGCTCTATGAGTCATATTTCGGGCATGAGTTTTATTATTTCTATTATATTCTTCTGTATATAATTATAATTATTTTATTAAATAGGTTCAAAACCTTGACGTATAATAAATCATAGCAATTAATCTAATTTCATTTTTTTCATGGTTATCAATTATGAAATTTCTTCACTTAACTTAAGAATTAATGATACCTTAATGAGTGCACATTTATCCCTATTAAAAACCTTTCAGTACAGTTTATTGCGCAGATTTTTTTCAATAAAGCACTTCAAATTCATTTTTAATACTTTGAAATAAATAACATATAAAAATTGTTCTTACCTTGAATCGAATTTGGTACCATCAACCAAAGTACCGGTATAGTGCATCGTCAGCATGTCCCCATTTTTACTTTTGACTTCGCAAACTTCCGGTTTAAAAGAAACGTCGATTTTTAGTTCCGGCTTTTTATCTTCCTCACAATTTGCTAAAACCCCTAGAGCGAAAACTACCAAAACTACCCTTCGAATCATTTTTGCTATCACTTTGATTGTTGATGCTCGCAAGGCGCGCTCTAAACTAAAACTTGAAAAGTTTCGAACACACCAGTCCTCGCGATGCCACACGATAAAAACGTTGACGTCAGCTATAAGCTTTCCTTTACCAGCTTATTGTTTTAGCGGATGAGTGGGACGAAAACGGAAGATAGGGGAAAGCCACAGGTCGCCACATCATTGGCTTATTTTATAAAAGTTGTTTTATTTTATTAAAAACTTTACTACTAATTATTAAAAATAACCCCTGCAATTATTACATTATTTTATATAATACCCTGTAAATATTTTCAAAAAAAAAATTGGACTTTAATACATTATAGAATTTTATCTACAAAATCTACTTAGTAGATAAATAATACAATTAATTAGTATGCTACAAATAAAAATTAATTATCACAACCGAAAATCAATTATTATGAGGTCGCATTTTAGTCGTTTTTGGTTGGTTGATCTCCCATTTTGATGGCTTCTTCGACAACCTCTGGAGGCACGTACCCGGTACTTCTTCGGTTTGAGAGTCTGTTCTTGGATCTGCGTTTTCTTTGAGTTTCGCTTTGGTCGCTGAAAAGTTAAATGTAATGTTAAATTGTTAGGTAGGTACATTTTTTAACTAATGACTCAAATTATGTAATAGATAAAAAGCTGGAATTTTTAGTGATTCTTATCATAGTAGAGGACTACAATTCCTGGAAATTTCAGCTCATTTGCATTTATAGTTCCTGAGATAAAATCGTGTTAAGCAAATTAGGGTGATTTATTGATTTTTCAATTTTGCTGAGTGCCTTTTTTCTAAGATTTCGGCTTCAAATCTGAGAATACATAATTTAGTGTATGAAGTTTAGGGTATGTTGATTGACCATTAGGATACAAAATCTCGACAAAAAATTTTTGAAATTTCATCGTTTAAGTAAGAAGGTATGATTTAGATTTTGGAAAACTTTGAAAGGTCATAACTTTTTTTCTATTATAGATAGAAAGCTGAAACTTTCACTGAATTTTATCCCTTCCGAAGGACTACAATCCCTGAACATTTCAGCTCGTTTACACTAATAGTTCCTGAGATAAAATCGTGTTAAGCAGTTTGGGGTGATTTATCAATTTTTCAATTTTTCTGAGTGCCTTTTTTCATAGATTTCGGCTTCAAATCTGGGAATAATTCAGTGTATGCAGTTTGGGAGATGTTAATTGACCATTAGGATACAAAATCTGAACAAAAAAAAATTTGAAATTTCATCGTTTTAGTCAGAAGGTACCTACCTTCTGATATAGTTCCTGAGATAAAATCGTGTTAAGCAATTTGAGGTGATTTATCAATTTTTCAATTTTTCTGAGTGCCTTTTTTCTGAGATTTCCGCTTCAAATCTGAGAATAATTTAGTGTATGAAGTTTGGGGTATGTTGATTGACCATTAGGATACAAAGGATAACGCACACCTAACATGGGATTTTTGGGCTCTATGGATTTTTCCCATTTTTTGATATGTTGTAGAGGATTTAATTCTGAATAGCCTTTAAATGGGACGAAATCTTGTAGGTATTACGGCCTTTGAGATATGAGCGTTGAAATATGAACTTTGTTGCGACGTTTTGTGTGGAGAGTATACGAGATACTGGTGCTACTGGTGTTTGTCAGTCAAAATATTGACAGGTTCACATATTTCACGTCACTTAAAAATTAATGTCAACATAGATGCAGGCCTTAGCCTATGTTGACATTTGTTAGTGAAATATGTCGACCTGTCAAAATTTTGACTGATAAACACCAGTTTTTCGTATACTCTCCACACAAAAAGTCTCAAAAAAGTTCATTTTTCAAGGCTCATATCTCAAAGACCGTAATACCTACAAGATTTCGTCCCATTTAAAGGTTGTTAAGAATTAAATCCTCTACAACATATCAAAAAATGGGCAAAATCCATAGAGCCCAAGAATCCCATGTTAGGTGTGCGTTATCCTTTAAAAAAAAAAAAATTCATCGTTTTCCAGTGGCGTAACTTCAAATCCGGCCCCCCCCCCTGCAAGGATTTTCCGAGTCCCATCTTTTATATATACATATATGTATAATATACTTTTTTTTTATTCTTTGAAGTGAAACTTCTTGGGTGGCGGTCTGATATTCGGACGACAATGGAGAGTGATTTGAAATACGATACGCGTCACGCAACGTCACGTTAAGGCCCATTTCGTTATTTGAGAGACAAGAAAGATATAACATAGAAAGACGGAGAAAGACAGTTGTTCAAAAATTCGTTTAAAAATAAGAAAACAAAGGATATAAATCAAAATTTGGTAATAGTAACATAGGAAACATAAATAAATTCCAAGCATATGATACAAATATCTAGTAAATATAACAAAACGTAGAACATAAAAAACATTTATACACAGGGTGATTCGGAAATAGCTCTCCACTACGTCGTAGGACCCTTGGGGGAACCTCAGAAAAATAGTAGAAGAAATGCTTCTCGACCAATCTTGGTGACTGTTCGGACTGTCCTTTTTGGCTCCACTTTTGGCCATATCTGATACATGTAACAAAATTCACCCGTCTGCCTCCTCCTCCCCCCAATTCTGGCACGATTTATTTTTTAACTGGAAAATGACGGAATTTTCGCTTTGAAAACGCGTGTGTACCACACTATCTCCGACTTACGACTGACGCAAACGCAGAATGCACAGAGCTTGGTTTGGAATTTCCGCGCTAAAGCGGGCTGAGTGGGGGGCACGGAGAAGACGAATGATGTTGAGGTGTGCTACTAATATTTTTTTAGCGAGATCCTCTTTGTATATTTTTGAATTGTTGTTATAGAGAAAAAGTTATAAGTGTAACATATTATGTTACGGGTAAAACCCTAATATTGGGTGATATAGAATCACCCAGGTTTGTTAAAGTTTGCTTGGGTCTGTTTATTTTTGTTTTAAACATAAACATACCTAAACAAAACCTAACCAAACCCTAACAATAAACTAAAAATCCTAAACATCCCTGAAAAAAATTATTAGACTGAATAAATATAACATTATCTAGGTATTCGGGCTTTACCCGTAACATAATATATAATTATTATGCACCTTCAAATTTTAACTACATTATTTCATGATCACCCTGTATATGACTATTAAATTGATGTGTAAGTATATTTCACCGTTAATTTGAAACAGTGAAACATAAAATTAACAAAAAAGCAATTTCATACGCATTTTAAAATATTTTTTCTAATAGCATAGTTTTTTGACAACCCTGTATAGCCTTTTTATATGAACTTGAATGATAATGTAAAAAATAGTATTTTTAATGAAATCGGCGACCCAAAATTAGTTAAAAACGACATGTTGAACGTTTAAAACCGGTGGTAAATAAGTATTGTCGATTTATGGTCCGCCATTTTGTGTCTCAGTCAAAAAATGGGCTGGCCTTGCGGGCCAAATCGCTTAAAATGATCTAAAAAAATGTCCCTGGGAAATTTGGTACTTTTAGACAAATTTGCCAAATATCGACCTTTATTGAGACTAACCCTAGTACTATAGGTTAACATCAATAAATAGGTATCAGCAGAAAATCACAAACAAAAATAAACACTTTTTGAAGTTATATTTAAACGGAAATTGGTTACCCGTGATATTTGGATGAAATTCAAATATGTTATTAGGAGTGTTGTAAGCAACATTTTTTACTATGGGCGCAACCTTGTACATGTGACAGGTGAGGCGGTATCAGCTGTCAAATATTGAAATCTGATATTGAAAAGCAAGGAAACTATGGCAGATTTTGATGCAGTAAGTATCGATTTCTACCAAGTCGTCCAAGGTAAATCGAGAAATGTAAACCATTTTGACATCTGTCAAACCCCTGCGAAACGGCCGCACTCATATTTTTCAGTTTTCAATATATCATGATGTGTCATTTGACAGTTTTAACTTATGTAAATTCTGAGTTCAAAAATTGAAAAAAAATAAATAAATTACAGAACTGTCAAAACCTGTCACTTGTTTTAGGTAGTGGAAAAAAATCCAATTGGGCCTGTTTGAAGGTAAATCATTGATGATACCTAGAACATTAAACAAAGCTCATAGACATCAAATTTTGACAGCTGTCAGAATCTAGTTTTGTTCCAATTATTTAGGTTAAGTATACTTATTTATGATAAAGCATGAAAAAAATTTATACGCAGGTTTCAGATTTTGACAGCTGTCAATATTTGATGTCTATGAGCTTTGTTTAATGTTTTATCACCCATAAAATACCTTAAAGCAAAAAAGAGTTAGACATGAATATATTTTCCTGCTGAAATAAATGACAGGTTTTGACAGTTCTGTAATTTTTTTTCAATATTTGAACCCAGAATTCACATAAGTTAAAAATGTCCTTTTCATACAGTGTGTCCCGCTTAAGGACTGACCACCCTTCTAAAATTTTTATTTTTCAACCGATTCAATTCAATATTTTTTTGTCTTGTAGTTACTCGAATATGGCACTTATTAGGCTCATAATTTTATTTCTACGGCTGCACTGGTTTACAGGGTGTCCACATTTATAGGTTCAAATTTCAATAAGTACTATTAGGGATTTTTTTAGAAAAAAATCTGATAGCAGATTCTTGTTTAGAATGGTCTAAAACCGTAATGTACGAATTTTTGTTCCAATAGGATACAGGGTGATCACAAAAAATTTTTCAAATTTAATGGATCAAACCGTAAAAATTTTATATTGTGAATTTGGCACAAAAAAAAAAAGTTCCAAGTACATACGTGTGACTGTGTTGTCTGAACTTCACAGGAGGATGATCCGCAGGATTATAATTCTCGGGCAATCCATAATTATTTTGAGTTTTGTCGTTGGACATCGAAATGTCAGCTGCTGGTAATCTAAAAAAAAAAAAACGAAAAATAAGTACCAGTTCCCTGTCATTTTAAATGTTGTTTGTCACAAATTCTTTTACACACAATGTTATTTCTCCTTTTCTGTTGTTTGTTTCTACCGGCGAAATGCTGCAACGTGTATCCGATATTTTTCAAAGAAACAGAACCGCCATTGGAAATGATCAATTGCGATCAAAGTCATTTCAGTTTAAAGATGATTTCGATAAATTTTTTGGTTTTGATGGAGTATGCTTTTTGTGATGTTTACAGGAGTTTTTTGGAGGTATATGACTTCATTGTGGATTATTTCAATGAACGGTAAGAATTGGTTAATGAGGATTATTTTTATTAAATAGAAATTTCAGCAAAGATGATCAAGAAATAGAGGCAAAAACTTATTTTGATTATATGAGGAATTTGCTTGATTTTGAACAAAATCGTCAAGAAGTTGTAAAGAGTTGCTCGTATCATTCAATGGTTGTGGTTGCAGCTTTTCTACTACTCTTATTGATTTTTGGATTCATGATTTTACGAATTGTCGAAAATTTGAGAAGGAAACAAGAAGTCCTAAATAAACCAGAACGAAGAGGAAGTCGTTGTTCATCGTGTCGTTTTTGTAATGGAGATGAATAAAGTAAATTATTGTCTGATGTTTATGTTCTAATTTTCTAAACCTTGCAAAATAATATCTAAAACAACTACCTTGACATATAGGAATCCCTAATCTGAACAAACGTTCCACTCATAATTATTTTTTTCAAAAATAAATCGCACTTAATGCTTTCTGAAACAATGTCAAACAAAAACTGCCATTACAAATTCAGCATCAATCCAAAACACGTCATGTTTCTTATCTTTCAAGTTTCCGATAATGCGAAATTACTCTTATCTCGTTTGACTATTGCATCTTAATAATAAAATGCTATGCAATGAGTAAACAATTTTTGTTTTAAGGCATCAAGGGATTGGCAATTCAAGCCTGATTTGTTACCTCAGCGCTCTTTGGACGTGGTCTGGATAAAGTTAATATTTAATGAAATCTATATCGGTGCGGGTGGTTGAAACATAAGTCGGTCCAATCAATATATTGAATTTTTTTATTTTGTCGTATAATAACTTACCCCCATTTATCCAGCTCCATAATTATTATTAAACAAAATTTTATCACATATCAATGCAACACATACAGAAAAATGGTGCGAATTTTCATTTTCGCTGGTCATAAGTAAAATGAGTCAACAAACCACGATCTTGAAACTAGCTTTTAACAATAAAAATTTAAGAGACCGTGCCTTTTTTCAGCGAAACTGCTAATTGTTTAAACAATTAACCGAATTTTCGTAATAATTATTATTAATAGAAAAATCCTAACAATTAGTACCTTTGTACATTTATGCTTAATATATATAGTAAATTGCCTCATACCTATAGTTTTATATTGATAAAAAAAATCTTTGATTAATTATTATTATTGGTAGTCTTAAATCAAAAACCATAATAATTTTATGTGAGCAATGTAGGTAGAGTTGACCATGTACGTATGAGCATCCCATAATCGTACATGTGACCGCAATGCGTTTCCTAATTCATTGAATGTTTCATTCAATGTTGGGAGGTTTCAATGCTAAAAAATTCTGATTCACGCATTGAATATGATAGGACTTTTTATGTTACGTAAGAATTTGATTGTTTTTCTGGATAGAAACTCTTGAATGTAGGTAATGCTCAAAATTTTCTGGTTTCAATTCGTGTTTATTCCCGGCTCTTGGATTTATATTTTCTTCAAATTTCTCCAAATTAGGAGAGCCTCATTTTTAGTCTATTCCTGGTGGATTTATCAATTTTTCAATGTCCCTCAAATCTGAGAATAATTTACTGTATAAAGTTTGGGGGATCCCAAATGAACATTAGGACACAAAATCTCAATGAAAAAAAAAAAATTAAAATTTCATCCATTTAATAATGACCTACCTTATGATTTAGATTTTGGAAAACTTTGAAAGGTCATTACTACAATCCCTGAAAATTTCAGCTCATTTGCACTTATAGTTCCTGAGATAAAATCGTGGTAAGCAATTTGGGGTGATTTATCAATTGTTCAATTTTTCTGAGTGCCTTTTTTCATAGATTTCGGCTTCAAATCTGAGAATAGTTTAGTGTATGGATTTTGGGGGATGTTGATTAATCATTAAAATACAAAATCTCGACAAAAAAAATTTTGAAATTTTATCGTTTTAGTAAGAAGGTATCTGTCGATGCAAAGTCTTGGGAAGGTGATAGGGGAGGTCATTTAGACTTAATTAAGCCAAACATACCTTAGTACAAAGTCTTACGGTTTTCGAGTTTTTCGAACGTTTTGGATTTCTTTAAAAAAAGGCAATTTTTCACTTTTTTCTCCTTTTATCTCTAAAATAAAAGATGACAGTTTGATGATATTTTTTTTTGATAGCAGAACGTTTCTCTTTTCTGAAAGTGTAAAGAAAAGAAAACCATACTGACTGCAAAAAAATAATAAATACATTTTTGGTAATTTTTCTTTTTACTGATAAAAAATTACTTTTTCTGCTGAAGTTTATTAACTAAACAAGCTGATTTTATTAGTAATACTTTATCAGAAAAATTAATTTTTGATCAGGAGAAAGAAAAATTACCAAACATTAATTTATTATTTTTTTGTAGTTCGTTTGGTTTTCTGTTCTTTACATTTTCAGAAGAGACACACGTTCTGCTATTGAAAAAAAAATTATTGTCAAGCTGTCATCTTTTATTTTAGAGATAAAAGGAGAAAAAAGTGAAAAATTGCCTTTTTTTAAAGAAATCCAAAACGTTCGAAAAACTCAAAAACCGTAAGACTTTGTACTAAGGTATGTTTGGCTTAATTAAGTCTAAATGACCTCCCCTATCACCTTCCCAAGACTTTGCATCGACCTTCCAAACACCCTGTATATAAAACACAGTTGTGTTGGTGTTGAGCACTTATAACTCGAGAACGGCTGGACTGATTTTTATGATTTTTGCTTTATTGGATTTGTCTTTGTCCATCCTGCGATAATAAATCGAAAAAATCCAAAAAAAAAACAAAACAAAAAAAAATATCTATTTTACTTATTTATGAAAAAAACTCACTAAGCTCGCATACGGCGCCATCTCATATAACCGATACCAAGTTTACCGTCACATCTTCATTGCAAACCATGTGGATTTTATTATCACGCACTTTATTTTTAATTGTTCTTCACAGTAAAAATGTCCAAAAATAAATAGAATGACAATGTTTTAATTGTGTATTTTATTTTGTTGTTGGTTCGTTCATTCCGAAAGAGCGCGAACTGGTCTCCCTGTCATTTCTTGACCATTGACGTTCTGTGGCTAAGTTCCGTTTCTCCTCTTAGGCATCCCTTGACAGCCGTGTTCCGTGCAGACTGTTCGGAGTGCTCCGTCCGGCTGGTGTCGAGTGGCAGAGAGCCAGGTTATGAGTCCGCCACAACCATTTTGTATACGGCGCCATATATGATAGCAAAGACAATGATAGGTTTAGGTACCTAGAACGAAACTCGCCGTTGTGCGGTAATTTCATTGCAGATACAGTAAAACAGAATACTGCTAAGGAACTGGAGCTATTCCAAACAGAACTATTCCACTATTCCGATCAGATAAAGTGGTGCAGAAAGAGTAGACCAGATAGAATAGTGCAGATACAGTAGAACAGATGGAGTATTGCAGTGCAGATAAAATGAAACAGGGCTGCGCTGGAGATTTTTTTTGTTTTCTTTACATTTTTTGAACATTCTTGTGCCTGAGTTTATTTATTTGGTGGTAGACTTTATAAGAATAATGCCCACAAGATGCCTAAAAAGGGATGATGTAAAATTTTAATTTTAGGTGACTTCTGATCCAGAGAGTAAAAACTAATTTTCTTCAACCAAAGCCAAATTCACAATCGAAAAAAACTGAATTTAATTCAGTTAATAAAATCTGTTTTTTTTTTTAAAGATAATTCCCCAATGGCATGTAATATTGACAGTTGAGTTGAAAACGGCGCTTCAGTACTTGGAGCTTTTTAAATTTTGGCGCGTAAATAATCGAATGAAGTTTTAACCTCAAAAGTCAAATTTGATGTGTGGTTTCAAGACAAGCTGACGCTGACACTTTTGAAAATAATCTTTAAGGACCACTGAACGTTTTGGAAAATATTTTAACTTATTCACTGTTCATTGTTCATATGTACCTACCTAGTCATGTTTTCTTCTACTTATTAAAACGGTTTAAAACTATTTGACATTTACCGCCAAAATTCAAAGCACTCCAAGTTCACTCGCGCCCTCTACAAAATTTCAGGGAACTTAACTGGATATTTGCCGCCATTCAAAAATTTAGTAACTATGTTGGCAACACAAGCCTTTTCTACATACAAATTTTTAAAGCATTGACAATTTTATATTGTATTGCCAACGTATTGTCATTTTGACTTTTATCTTTAAAAAAAAACGCACTTTAGATACATTAACACAACATTTAATAGGTATTTAATAATTCAGAGGAGGAAGTGTTCGCCGGGTCAGCTAGTCATACATAAAAGCTAGCTTTTCCTTTTTTTGACGTTTCAATAAAATTACAAATCGATAATTTATATTTTATTTTATTTCATTAAAAAATTAACAGGAAAAAAAAGGGAATATAATTATATTACAATGAACTATAAACTACACGTAGGTACCTGCAATATAGTCGCGCCGATTAAAAAAATTGGGGCAAATTGAGATGGAGAATGTGACGGATACATATCTCTAAATTTTATTTTCTTTGTTTTCTATTTTTTTTTCCTTGTCTAAAAAATATATTTGGGGTTAGGAATATACCCAACCTAACTAGAAAGAGAAAGGTTAGAAAGGTAGCCGTCACTATACACCGTAATTTACGTAGCCCATGCATTAGAAGTTTTCCAGGGCCCGTATTCTCGTTACATGGGAACAGCGTTCTCAAGAGAACGATTGCTCTCTTTGTCAGTATTCAGTATTATGGAAATAACAATATGGGCGACTAAGACAGAGCAATCGTTCTTTTGAGAACGCTGCTCCCTGGTTACGAGAATACGGGTCCAGATTGCAGGTGGATTAGTAGAGATAGCATCTAATCCACCTGCAATCTAATGCACGGGCTACGTAAATCATCCTGTATAGCTATCTTTGGACACACAGAGCGATAAATGCTATATCCAACAATGGTCGGATCCATTCCAGTTACGTGTAGTATTTAGTTCATTGATATATTATACAAATGCTTCTGTCCCACTCACTCCTTGTCTTTCCCTCTCATTCGCTCTCGTACGGAATCACCGACGTGTGACCACGGCATATTATCCCTACCCGACGTGGCGTATGTATGTGTGGGTTCACGGACGCGTAAAATAACGAACTTTGGCGTCGTCTGGCAAGAATTAATCCTCGATAAAACCGTCTGGCACTAGGTTTGTTCGATTAGTAATTTTTTGTCTTAAATGTGAAAAAAAAAACAGGTTTCGGCAATTATTTCGAATTTGTTATCATTTTTTTTGCACTTTGGGAGCGTCTGGCAAGGCTTTAAACCCGTGAAAACCGTCTGGCATTATCACAGCCATGTTAATGGCAAATTTTTGGATGATATGCCGCAAAAATTCATCATCGGCAAGTATTTCGAATTTCGTGAATTTTTAATGGACTAATTATGCCTACGCCAAACTTTCCCACTACATGCTGCCAGACTGTGGTTTTAGATCACGGGGGATAAAACTGCAACGTTTAAGCAAGAAATTGTCCATCGGCAACTTTT